CATAAGTTTTTTTAGGTAAATTTTTAAATAAGTCCGTCGAAATTTTATTTCAGCTGACTTATCAGCTAAATTTACTAAAACACTTTTATCATATAAGCTATTTGTTTCAGTCATAAGTTATAAACTATGAGCTTATTAGCTATTTTTTCCAAATAGCCTAAGACTTGGAGGAGAGACATTAAAATTTAGAACCTCAACATATACGGAAACATATGACATGTTGATTCCGATATAATTAAAATCGTATAAAAATCTAAAGACGTAAATTGATTTGCGTGTCGGAGTGTTTACTTTACATAAAAAAAATCCTTAATGCTTTTGCACATATAAAAATATCTTGGAGAGCATATATGATATGTAAATGTAATGGCAACTCAATTTTTTTTTTTAAAAAAATGGAAAAAATCAATATATATATTTTCAGAAATATACACATGTTTAATGTACCACTAGACTAGCAATTTTAATATTACATGCTTCAAAACATGAATATTCATTCAACCCAACGACTTTTTTTTTAGGGCAAAAGAAAAAAGTTGCTCAAACTTTTGACTAATAAGTTTCTTCCTTCCCTTTTCGTCGGAAAGGAATTCAGAAAATAAGGTAGAAACTTCTGTGCAAGACGCATGCAATTTAATACTTCGCCTGTCACACTATACTTTTATAATTAATTAATTTTATATATTCTTTGTCAAACGTCTAAAGGATTGAGGTCACGGGTCAAAAAGAAAAATCCAAACCAAATATACTATATTTTGAGGCAGCAAAAATTAAATAACTAGGAAAATGCTACAATTCCGTTATGGAACCTTTCGTTATGATAGTTAATCTAACGATTACAAACTCCGTATTTCCGTAACAGGAGCGTAGAATCTCCCAAATAACAAATCCATTTATTTCCCTCAACCCAAATATATGTATATGAAGCTGCTAGGAAAGAAGAAAAAACCTTCACTTTCAGGAAATTTAAAATCACCTTTTTTTCTCTTTTTGTTCAGTCCACTAAAATTGTCCTAAATCCACGTCTCCATCGTTTTCCACTTGAAACACGCAAAATTTTTTATTTATTTATTTTTTAATTATTTGAACCCCCCAAATCAGACAAGAAAATCAGGCCAAACTACCCACCAAATTTCCCAAATTAAATTCCACTAATTTTTCCCCTAATTTTTATTATGAAAATGTCCATTTGGGCATGTTAAATTGTATAATCTCATAAACTTTAAATATCAAACACAATTATTATTATTATTATTATTATTATTATTATTATTATTATTATTATTATTTTATTATTTTTTATTTATTTATTTATTTATTTTTTTCTCCACTTTCTCTCCACAACACACGTAATATAAACCCGCAACACACAAGAAACTTCCTAATTATTAAACCTAATCTTCCCGTGACTACAATCCCACATTCCAAACACATACATAAGTTCCAAATCCCAATCCAAACCCTCAAACACTACTCAATTAATCTCTCTGATCTATATATCTATATATCATCTCTCTCTATTACATGCATGTGAACAACCCATAAATAAAATAAAATCAAGAACACACTATATTTCATAGTTTTATAGCCATGCCTCTCATCAACCTAACCAAGCTCCGAATTCTCGATACCATCTCAATAAATCTCGGCAGCATCCAACTGGCCGTATTAATCGTTGGATTGATCGAACTCCTCGTTCTTCTTGACCGAAAAAAAGTTTCCGGCTTTTTCTTGGGTTTTTATTCTCTACTGCTCACACCCCTCCACAATTCTACTCCCACGACGAGAAAGAGTTCGAATACCGAGCAAGAAAAGGCGGCCGCCGTTTGTCGAGGAGATTTGGAGGTAGTTTTGAAAAGCTTAGGGCTTTTCCGAGAAGGGAATATTATTCCGGCCAGGCTTGATTCGAACGATATTTTGAAAATGTTCGAGGAGAAAAGTGTCGGTTTAGGTGAAATCAAGGAGGCTTTCGATGTTTTCGATGAGAATAGAGATGGGTTTATTGATGCCATGGAGTTGAGGAAGGTTTTGTGTGCTCTAGGGTTTAGGGAGGGATTGGATGTGGAGAGGTGTAGTAAGATGATTGGGGCTTTTGATGAGAATAGAGATGGGAAAATAGATTTTGATGAATTTGTGAAATTCATGGGGAATAGTTTTTAGTTAGAATATTATTAATTAATTGATTTTCTTTGTTTTAGCTTTTTATCGATCATCTTTTTTTGGCAAGAAAAGCTTGTTTGAGGTTTGATCTCATTGTGTAGTCTCCATTTTATTTTATTTTATTTTATTTTTTAATTTGTTGTTCTACAAATTTTAAATTATACTACCTCATTTTTTAAATAAATGTCGTTTTGACTTTTTTGATTCATAAATGTCTAGATACATAGCAAAATGGATGAATCAAAAAAGTCAAAAGGACATTTATTAAAAAAAGGAGGGAGTAGCAATTATTGGCTGATAAATTAAAGTTATGCGCGTGACATGTTTGCATTGAATATCAAGAAATATAATTAATTAAACCCGATATAGAATATAATACACTTAATCTTCATTAATATGTAGCCCGTGACAAATTCTTGATCATTTTTTATTATCATCTCATGAAATATATATATATTTTCAAATTCGTTATATTTAATTAAAGAACAATTTTGGCAAAAAGAAATAAAAAATAAAATAATTTTTGGACATAAAGTTCTTAAACTAACAAATCCAGGGACAATTTTAACTAATTCTAATTTCGAGAAATTACCAGAGGACATATACGTACATGACCTATTAATCTTTGATCAATGTCCATTTCTGGTTAAAACTTAATTTCGGCTAGAAATAATTCCAATTAGAAAATGACACGTCAATATTCCAATTAGATTTTCAGCCAAAAATTTTGGTCAACGTTAACATTATTTATGGCCTGATTTCAGATTTTGGTTCAAGTGGGAAGCAATTTGATTGTCGCTTAAGCAAGTTCTCGGTTTTGATCCTTGTAAATGTAGAAAATTCTTGTTGGAAGACTCATTCACCATTGCCAAGTGTGCGACTCGGGTTGACCAACGAATTAGTCAGGGCAAAACTTCGGATATCATGATTCATGACTGACTACCAAAACAAATTTAGATCAATTTTGAAACTATTGGCATGCTATTGGTTAATTAGTTTTCAATAGAAAATTCTTGTAGCTAAGAAGACCTTGATAACGGGCAATTGAAATTCATTACAACTAATTTTCCCTTCATTTTTTTATTTTTTTTTTTATTTCAATTACTTCAATATAATCATTTGTACATAAACAAAGGCATTGGAAAAATCATGAAATTAACTTAAAAATAGGGTAAAATATTTAAAAGAAATTGCTCACACGACACAACATGCATGTTTCGGCTTAATTATTTAATTAGAGTTCACCTATTTTGCGCAAATTAATTAATAAATCTATCCTCATTTGTTTCCAACTCCAAGAAAGTCAATGAATTCAGGCGATTTTGCAGTGGATTGCATCATGAAATCAGTCAACACAGGTTGATGATTATTTTGACCATCTGAATAGGTTGACTGTGAAGGCCACAACCCAATTTTCCCGCTCATTTTCCAGGACCTCATGCTCATATAGCCTGCAGATTGTGATTAAAAGTGCATCAAATAAAGAATAGATCGATGACTCGAAATTACTACTAAAATGTGAAGTAATTAACCAATACGATCAACGTTACGTACTATTTCCGATAAGTCTTCCGTTATGATACTAATGATTAGATAACCGTACTCATTCGACGAATCTTATGTTATACACCGATTATCTAATGCTTAGGCAATTAGCTAGATTCTTTATTTTATACTTAAATTTCATACTTTAAAATTACTATATATCTCTGCTACATTCAATCGGTCATAAATAAATTTTTGTCTTCTATTATTTACATCATATGAATAAATACTAAGATATTTACATCATTTTTCGAACAAGAAATGATTTAATAAGGATTTAATAATAAATAATAATAATAATAAAAAAACTTACCACATTGATACTGAAGCTGTGAAACAATATTGTTGAGGCCGGGATTACTTTTTATTACCAATGCACTTTCCTCCATTGATGAGCTCCTCTGATCAAGAACATCATCATCATTATCATGATCATCGTCGTCGAAAGAATTTATCCAACTCTTCTTTTTGAAGTAGGGTTTCGATTTCTCTCGGTATTTTCGGGCCATGAGGACATGCCAGTGATTCTTCACTGCATTATCCGTTCGGCCCGGAAATAACCTACAGATCAA